CCCCCCCCCCCCCACCACGACCCACATGAAATGGGGGAAATTTGGGTCAATCCCCTTATGAGAATTCAAAGTTATCTTTTATGATTTTAATTCATTTCTTAGAGAGCGGTTATTAGCACAATTGTTTTGTCTTAATACCAAAAACGATGGGAGGTTTAGCCGTTTTAGAACAGTGTTTACACGACTATTGGATTTGTAGACCAGCTCTTTTTAATTTGATACTCTTCTATTTTTTGTTGTTTAGTTTACTCTATTGTAAATTGATTAATATTTTATATTTGCTAGAATATTCTTTTTATTTAGTGATCTTGAAATAATTTGTTAGTTAAAATATGAATAATCATGTTAATTTCCCAACAAGTTTTTAGCCTAATGGTACCTTTACCTTGTGAAGGATTTTTGTCTTTCTTGATGTCAAGGATTAAAATCTCAACAAGCTTTTATCCTTAGTTGCTTAAACGAACTTTATCCAAGTTTTTAGTATGGGTTCAAATCCCCATTGAAGCACAAGTTCTAATTTAACTAATGTATGAATTGAAGGACCGGTTCATACATCTAAAGTTTACTCTCGGTTCTATTTAGACTCATGAGCATAAGCGTGTTTATACTCGCTAGAGACCAAAAAAAAAACAAATAGAAGGAAAAGACTAGAAACAATTGAAAAAACTTAGCACTCACCTCCAACTTACCAGGAATGAGTTTAGTTCAACAAATAGTAATGAGTCGAAGTGGTTTAACCAATTCACATGTTTTTCTTTACTTGTCTAAGTCAAAGTTTTGAAAATAATGGACAATTGATGCAAATAATTTTATTTTTGGTCAAGAAAACATAGTTAAACTACAAATTAAAAAAGCGGACACAAATAATTTACCATGTAGGCATAATTTTCAAATCAAATCAAGGTTTTTAGGCTAATGAAAGCAACAAGAACAAAAGAAAATTAGTTGGGGGAATCCTCGGAATCAAACTTAAAGGGGGGTATTACTCGAAGCCAAGAATAAGGGACCACCCACGCCAAAATCAACCACCAATACACTCCATCTTAGGTTACTCATCAACAATCATTTCATTTCTCTACCTATAAAGTACACTCACTTAAGTTTATTCATATTTTCTTTTGTCGTTTGTTTTCTCATTCCCTACATCAAATTTTACAGCGAAATCCCACCCCCACAAAAAGCAAACGTGTCATCCCGTTTTTGTTTTTGTTTTTGTTTTTTTTTTGCATTCTTTTTACAAAATTTGATAAGTCTCTCGTCGATTAATTTGTAATCATCAACAAAAAATTGTAATTTATTATCTTCGGGGATTGTTATATTAATATTTCTAGGAAATTTTTTTGAAATACAAAATCAGAGTACCCCTAATGTTACTCAAAATGTCAAAAAACACCAATAACAAAAAAACTATGCTTTTATATAATTATGATTTGGACTATAATTAATTAAGAAAATGTAAAAAATTGAGTTCTAATCAAACCAAGAGAGTGGTTTTGGAGTCAAAATCAAGTTAAAAGATAGCTTTGTGAGATTTATGTGGGAAAAATGGAAGTTTTTACAACCATTTTCATAGATTTTATGATTGATTTTTTTTTTTTTACAAAATAAAATAAAATTTTAAAATTAATAAAAAAATATTTTCGACATTGAGGTAAAGTGATCAAATTGAGAGCCAAACTCAGACAAATTTTCTCTCACCTCTTTTTTAAAAAAAAAAAAAATTGTTTGTAGGCCACAACAACTTGATTTCCTGAATTAGACCTAGGCAAGCCACATGTAATGTAAGGTTTACGATCTACCTACGAGGTTAGCATAAATGATCCATGACCCAATTAGATTGTTGAAATTACGGATCAACCCATGCGTCACAACCATTTACCCACTCTTTGAGTCTTTTCTCATATATTATGTGAATGTTCAAATTTTCAATTACTCGTAAATTCTGACCTTACCCTACTATATTCGACTCTATTAATCGGTTACTCGAAAGATTCGGGTAGGCCAACTGAATATTTTTTGGCATTTCACAAAAAATCAGATAAGAATACGGAATATTTACAAAATTTCGAGATTCTTATTCTATTCTACCTGTATATATATGTTAATCCCTAAAATTAAAATTCAAAAATCTAGAAACTCTAATGTTTTATTGATGTTTATGACTTTTTTATATATGATGTAACTGATGTTTTATTGTTTATATATTATCGAATTTGTTGTATTTTTTTTAGTGTTATTAGTTTATTGTAGTAGTTAATTAGTGCAAGCTATTTAATTAAATTGTTAAAATGATTCAAAAATTAATAACTAAAAAAAATGAGTTCAATCGATTTCTTATTCGACTTCCTATTAGATTGTTTTGGACAAAATTCGGGTAAAAATAGTACACTTGATCAAGTAAGATAAGTCAAAAAAAAAGATTTTTTATAAAATATCAGATATGAAAATGAAATATCATAATTTCTACGAGTAGGATAGGGTGAACACCCTTGTATGCGGCTTATGTAACCACTTTCAACTTTTTGATAACTATTTTACATTTGAATTTACCATCATGTCTCCCTATCTTTTCATTTTGGTGGGTGGATGTGCTGTTTATTCAGCTTCAAAAGGGTGCGGAAGAACACAGGTTTCAAGGAATCAAGGTTCGTAGACGTAGCCCAACTGTCTCCCATCTGTTGTTCGCAGACGATTCACTCTGTTTCATAAAGGCCAAGGAACAGGGTGTTAAGAATTTGTTGAGAACCCTAGGAGACTATTGTTTGGCCTCGGGACAAAGTATGAACCATCAGAAATCAGGTATTCTATTCTTATCCAACACAATAGTTTAACAAAAGGCCCACCTCAGTAACTTATTGGGTATGCAATCTTTGGCTCTAGAGTCAAAATACTTGGGACTTCCCACGTTTTGGGGAAGATCAAAGAACGAGATCTTTGGTTACTTATTAGAGCGGGTACTGAAAAAGATGCAGGGAGGGAAAGGGCTTTTGCTATCACAGGGGGGAAAGGAAGTCTTAATTAAATCAGTGATTCGAGCACTCCCAACCTATGCGATGTCTGTCCTCTTCTTCCCAAAGAATTTCTGCGGCTAGTTAGATAAGTATGTTAGAAACTTCTGGTGGGGCAATGGAGGGGAGAAGCGGGGAATTTGCTGGAAAAAATGATAAGAGTCCAAGATGAGAGGGGGAATGAGATTTAGGGACTTCTCCTCTTTTAAACAAGCACTCCTTGCAAAACAAGGTTGGAGGATGCTTAAACACCCAAATTCATTATGGGTCAAGTTCCTTAAGTCTATCTATTTTTCGGAGTGTGATTTTATGTTGGCAAAGAAAGGAGCCAGGCCCTCTTGTGTTTGGAGTAGCCTGATGAAGGGGAGAGAACTGCTGGAGAGAGGGTTTTTATGGCAGGTAATGGAGGGCAATGATATCAGAATTTGGAAAGATAGGTGGATTCCACTCCTTCCTACGGCATCCATAACTTCCTCTAGACCCCGATCATGCGAGATTGAACTTGTAAGTCAACTGATTTCCAGGCCCTTCTAGGTATGGAACACAGAGCTCCTGAAGGAATTGTTCAACGAAGATGAAAGGAAAGTTATCTCAACCATTCCAATCCCAAAGTCTTCTGGGAATGATAGAAGAATATGGCATCTGTGCCCCAATGGAATCTACACAG